CTCCTACAAATGGAAGGAACGGACGCCATGGTTGTCCAAAAATAAATCCTGAGCCCTGTGAGCCGCTCAGAGTGACAGCAAGATCGAGGCAGGACGCTGCACGGACAGGCCACTGGACCTTAGGTTTCACCACCTCAGGGTTCTAAAAGTAGGGGTCCCAGCACCACCTGGGGGTCCGTAGAGGATGTACTGGGGATACGGCAGTGGGGGCTCCACAAAATGAATTTCACATGATTTGAATTCTGTGGAAATAGTGGGTCTTGCAGCCCAGTATCATAGCAGGTTGTAATATAGTCACAAAATGCAATCTATTGCTTTCACAGGGACACGAATTGTCTGGGTTTTTTTGTGTGTGAAAATAATGCCAATGGAAGTCAATTAGGAGCCTTACTGGTGGTGGACACAAATTAAATGCATCCATGTGACTAAGCAACTGTAAGAGCAAGTGACGTACTTTAGAATATCCAAAAAGACCAGGCTTAGGGGGCGGGAGCTGGATGGGTCCAAAAAACACAGAAGTGAGTAGATGTGATTTAGGGTTATGATGGTGGTTAGGTGTTCTTCAAGGACTACCAAGAATATTTGAGTGGGTTCTAGGCATTCTTGGGGAGGTCTGAGGGTCCTTTTCAGAGGAACTTGATGGGATTTTAAGAGAATTTGAGTCCTATTTGAATGTCAGGCATCACTGATGTGATTCTAAAGAAATAACGCGGCTCTAAGTGCGTTCATGTCTATAGGATGGAAGGTCAGAGTTGGCTGTGTGAGGATTTAAATACTGTGCATTTAAAATATATCAGCATTTACATAAATTTGTAACAATACCACATAGTAAAAATAGCTAGTCTATTGAAGTAAAATCATACACATATTACCAGCAGTGGACCAATGTACTTGTATGTCTCGAGTGTTAAATGATGGACCCTTCAAGGTCCTGAAAGATTATATATAAATGTATTTTAAGCATGTACGACAATAATAATACACATCATTTATTATTAGACTTCGGTGGCTCTCCTCTTAGTTTTTATTTCTGTTGGGCCAATTTACTTTATTTATTTAATTGTTTTTGCATTTTCTTTGGCAGCATTTTAATCCTCACAAAACCAACTCTGTTATCAAACCATCGTCTTGATTACGTGAACTCGTTGAAATCTACCATCCATCCCTTTATAACGTTCAAGGGCCCTTTATGGGTTCTTCCGGAGGTTCTCAGTTTCTTTAAGGAGGTTTCAGGGGAGTTCTATCAACTAGAACCCATCCCGATTTGAAGTGAGTGACAATGACACCCAGGGATCCAAGGTCCAGAAGACAATCATGGGGCTGTTATGTTGTGGATCCAGGAGTCAACGAGAGAGTTCCAGGGCATCCTTAGGGACTGTTCACACATTGCGTCTGAAAACGAATGGCAGCCAGCCTTCATCCTTTTATCCGAGGGGCTTGGGAGGTATGCGCTCCAGTCATGCCTGCCGGTACTAAGCAACCAAAGCCTGGATGCTGCGATTGCGGCGACGATGATGAGGAAGTTCCTCACTGACTAAACCAAAGTCAAAACTAAGATAAATGGATTTCCAGCACCGTAAATCCTTCACAGTAGCTTTATTAGTTTGGCTGACCTTTAAACCGGATGTTGTGGCTGGAAAAGTGTGGAAGAAAGTCCTGTCGCACTGATTGTTTAATTCTTGTCACATGACCTGTGGTGCGTTTGCTGCATTCATAAAAAATGTGGAATTGTCATTGTGTGTCATGTGGAAGTGTCATTGAGCAAGACACTGAACCCCAAGCTGCTCCCCGGGAGCTTCATAGCAGCTCACTGCTCCAAAATGTTTCAGATGGGTTAAATGTAGAGTCAAGTTTGATGTAAACCTGAATGTTTATAACGACTGTAGTAAAGATTAACTTGTAGAAGTATTGCACCGATGTACCGAGGTGGTACCTGAATTCTTTGACGAATAGTCCTTTTGTTCTGGAGGTCCTCGTAGGGGGTTATGAGGTCTTTGAGATGGTCAGGTACTCCAACAGAATGTTTTAAGGATCCTTCATGGGGTTGCAAGGATCTTCGGGGGTTTCCTAATGGTCCTTTATGAGGCCATTGAATATCTCCTCTGCATACACAAGTATTTCTGGAGTCATTTTAGATGATTTATGAGGTTCAGGAGAGCTTTCATGAGGCCTTGTTTGATTTCCAGGTGTCCTCAAGAGGATTTTAGGAGTCTTTTTATGGTTTCTATCGGCAGGTCTGGAGCAGGTCATTCCTTAATGGGGCTCAAATTGTGTTTGAGGAGGTGTAAGGTTAAGTTTCCTTTCCTCCTGCAGTCTGGCAGAGTGCATGCAGTGCAGTGTACTACTGTTTCAGTGGTTTGTCTCTTGAGCGTAGACAGGTCAACTGTAAATCAGCAACAGCTCAATCAAACAGGAGTTCTTTGTCTATTTGTGTTTTGAAATTCCCAACATGGAGGAGCCCCAAGACTCTCTGCTCGTTATTCTGTCATTGCAGCACCCCCTGCAGGAAAATCACGGGGGTTCATTCAGGATCCCTGAGACGGTTCAAGACCGACACTGGAATCACAGATCCTGCTTGTAAATGAAGCCGAGGAGTTTGCTGAATGATTCGTGCTGCAGCTCGTTTAGACTTGCAGCTAAACTGAAAGACATTAGCAACCGATCAGACTGGTCCTCCATCAGGCAGGGGGTTGATTTCTGGAAGAATATCCTCTGCCGGAGTTCATTCCAATTAAATACAATCTTTAATGCGGCATTTGTAAGGACAAAAACTACCTAAACATAAACTACAAACATCCACTAGCAAATACCTCACATAATAACTAAAGGACACAGATACGTACTACGTTTATATGTTTGCTATTACAGATCACACTGTGTGGAACGTCAAGCTGTCAAACACGTACAGCACAAATTTATTATTAATTAAAAGTTTGATCTCATCGCATTGGAGCGTATGTCATAAAAAGTGAGGCTGATAGCAGGCGTGTGAACCGTTCTCAGTTGTTGTTTAATGTTTTTGCTTGTTGTTTGAAGACCTAGATGGAGTAAAACAGTCTGAAGTAGATCCAGTGATTTCTTGGGGGACGAGAGTGTCAAAGAAAACAAGTGGATCAGAGGGATCAACGTGATGTTTTTGCAGCTTGGATCGACAAATTCTTCCGCTTCTCACCTCCTCTGACTGTACATTATGTGCATGCGTCCCAGAGTTCTTCAAGAGGTTCAGGATCACCACCTGCCTCGCTCCCCTGACGTCGTGCTCTCGGTCCCCACTTGAATTTTGCTTGCCTTAAAATGCAGCCGCCCCAGAATAGCAACCTAGAGGGGCATCTTGGCTGCCCCCCCACCTTCTCCAAACTTGAGCCTCCCACCTTAGCATTCGACCCTTCCATCTCCTTATTGAGTGCCTGCGGTGGGAGGAGGGGGCACTGAATGTCGCAGACCCTGCCTGGCCTCGCCTCCGGGACGTCTCTCCGGCCAATGGGGAGGCCGAGCGGATCGTGTGTCACTATAACAGAAGGACATAATCAGCGCGGTAAGTTTGCAGAACCTTACAGCCAGTCTCGGCCAGCAGCGGGGAGCTCACTTCATTCAGCTTTTCAGAGGTAAGACAGTGAGTGAGTGAGTGAGTGTGTGTGGCAGAAGAAGGAAGCTCAAGTGCAATGTTCCCCCAGCAAGAAAAATGTCCACCCAATCTGAGGACAGCTGAGTCCACATGTCTTAAAATCAATGCCACGACTAGAAGAGGCTGAGGGTCGGGGGGGGGGAGATGGGAACAGGCCTCCCTCTGAAGCCCAGAGAGAGTTTGATGCTTCTGCGTTTGAGCTCGGCGGCAATTTTATCGAATTTGGTGTTCGATTGCAGAAAAGGGCACCTGAGAAGCTGTTTTTTTTGACACCTTGTAGTATTTTTGTATCTCCAAAATGAGATTTTTTTTATAATTTTTGGGGGGTTTTTAAACTTACCGTTAAAATGTAAAAAAAATCATCGGGTTTAAAAAGTTCTGACATTCTTGATGGACTTCCGCTGTTCTCTTTTTGGGCTTTTGTTGTTTCCGTGGCGGTTTTGGTCCGAGTCCAGCGACTCCAGGCGGAGGTTCATACCTGAAGGATTTACAGATGGCTTAAAGCCTTTGAAGCAGCTTTCCGCTTCAGGAGACAGAAGACGATACTAATGAGTTATGCAACTTCATCCGGCGGTGAATGGTGTTGTTATTCCTGACATTTAAATTCAGGAGGCTGGGGGGGTCACTTTGTTTTGCTTTGCTGGCTGATACGTTTGATATTGTTGCTGATGTCCGCTGATGAAGCTGTAAATTGGGCGTGGCATGCGTACATTTAGGCCGCACGTAGCCTGAGGATAAACACTTTAACATCTTGAACAGGAGCCAAAAAACCTTTTTACCCTCCCCGACTTCCAATATTACACCATGGTGTAAAGACAAATTTGGAATTTACGAGTTCCAAAGAGCAAATAGGAGGAAGCCTTTAGCATTAGCCCTTTAACCTTCACGGTGGCCTTTCAGGGTTTATTTTAATTCCCGAGCAAAAGTGGCCTCAGTCAGCAGGGAGCCGCGGTGGGAAGATGATTGAAGGAACCATGTGAGCGCGAGAAGGCCAGATAAGGAGATGAAGGTGGAATTATGGGTAGAGGGGTCCAGGGGAAGGAACCCAATCTTTCAGGTTCCCCCCCTCTGAAACCGGATCTGGGAAACTGCGCAGCTGTCAGTTGGAAATAGTTGCGATGTTGGGACGGCATTTATGGTGGCCTCACGCTAATTTGACTAAAGGGGCGACTAATCTGACATCTAATCGCTCGATTGATTAAATTACGGAGACATTGGGGTCGTGTGTGTTTATCATTGGTCAGATCCAGTCTGGACTGTAACAGCTGAGAGTGACAGACGGGATCAGAATTTGCCAGAAGAGCGATTCTAAAGATAAAAAAGTCTGTAACACCTTCGATGCAGAGTGATGGGATGCCAACGTTTACCCCCCCCCCCCCATTTTAACATTAAACTCCTCCATCAGCAGTTGTAAACGGACCGTTGGCATAAATCTAAGTTTGGCTCCCTTCTCACTTATCGTCAAAGAAGCAGATTCATGACTGAGGATCGAATTTCAGCCTAAAGTTTTACTGCTAATAATAAACCGATTTTTGGGGATTTGACAAATTTGGAAATGTTTTTCCAAATACAACATCCTCCAAATGATGACAATGAAAAACATGTCGGGATTTAATACAGATCTTATTTTTTGTGGTAGGGGGTTAAAGCATGTGAGGGCGGCAGGGTGGGGGGGTCGGCAGCAGATATTTAAGACATCTGCAACTTAATCCCGAGCTATAAATAAACAGCAGGGCTGCTCGCTCGCTCCTTGCAGACAGACTTTGAGTCTCCTTCTCTTCTCTTCTTTTTTTGCCTCCAGGTTGCAAAGTCCACTGTCACCATGTCTGACACTGAGGAAGTGTAAGTCCTTTCACATTTACCTCCACACATCTTCACCTCCTCGCTTTGTCAACTCAAGGCCCACAGAGATATATTTCAAAGCTCTGGGGACCTTGAGTCAAACTACTGTGCACATTCTCAAGCATGAACTTTCTATTGTTTTGAATATTAATCAGAATTTCTTTGCCCCTCTTTCTTGCAGTGAGGTCGAGGGTAAGTCGCACCATCATTCCCTCTGTTTTAAAAATAAATAGATAAATAAAATCCCCCACAAATTAGCTTTTCAGGTACAGTCCGGAGTTCCATGCTAAATGAATCTGTGCATAACTGATTTTACATTCCCTGTAGAGAAGTATTTGCACTGGACAAATCCGTATGTTCACAGGTTTGGCTTGACTCCCTCCAGATTCAAGTTGTGCAATAATGCTCTCTCCTTTTTTTAAAGCAAATCTGCTGAGATATAGTATCGTCCCCCGCTGTTGCATGGTTGCAGGCACCAATGCTGGCCATCAGGACAGTGTCTAAATTTAAATGAAATAATAAATAAAACTGCACTGCCCTGTTTGGACAACAAGTCCTGCAGCTCTGCATGACAATCCTGCAACAGCACAGTCCTCCTGAGCTGACCAGCATCTCAGACTGAAAGGGACACTGGTGACAAAGACATTAAAAAGACACTTTTGAGGTCCCGTCTGTCCGCTCTGATCAGCCCAGGAGGACGGTGTTGTGTTTGCTTAGCATGGATCCCCAGTGTACCCACATTTTTGAATCTATATTCTGTCAAAAACGGGTACAAACCTGGGATCTTTTGATGAATGTTCTTCTGCTCCTTTCTTTCTCGGACGGACGTGAAGAATACGATGGTAAGACGTAAAATCTAATGTCACTGATACTAATTTGTCGGTCGGTTTTTTGTTCCGTAAAAACGTGTTTTTTTTTTCGTAGCCTACTTCCCACATGAACCTTAATGTGGCATGCTGGTTAACACTAACTGAGATACATTTTTAAAAGGACGCAGGGAAGTCGTTTCCATCAGGGTAGATTTTGTCTCTTTTTTTGTCTTCAACCACGCCGACTTGTCTTCAGGAATCAGTCCCATCTCATCCATCAATGACTGACCTTTTCCCTCCTGTAACTGCTTGCTGTCTCACATGCTTTAGCGCCATCCGGTGGCAGTTTCCCCCCCAAACTGCCACTCCATGAACCTCTTTTTCATCTACTCACCCCCCCCCCCCCCCTCCCGAACCACCTCTCTCCCTGTTTCCCCCTTTTCTCCACTTGCTTCCATTAACCATCTCACCGCCCTTCCTCTCCCCTGGTGACTCGCTGCATGTTGTGTAGCTGTACAAGAGGAGGTAGTAGAGGAAGTAGAGGTGGCTCCTGAGGCGGCCCCTGAGCCAGAGCCAGAGCCAGAACCAGAGCCAGAGCCAGAACCAGTGGTAGAACCAGAGCCAGAACCAGAACCAGAGCCTGAGTATGAAGGTATGTGGTATGGAAAGGGGGGAAGGGGGTATTCTATCATCCTTTCCCAGGCGACAGGTGTGCTCCGAAGGCTGCAGCCAGCCAGACAGACCCCACTAATCCTGACACCGCACACATGCTCATCATGTCTGCTAATGCTAACTCTACCTTCCTTTCATCTCTTGACAAATTCAAAGACGCCCCGTTTAGGCAATGCTCAAATAGGGGCAGGATTTGTAATGTGAATACGTCTTATATCGATACAAACATGTATTGAGATGATCATACCCAAAGCATTTTACAGTTACTCTATGACTAATATTTGAAAGTCCATATTTTTTGCACTAAAGTTCATGTTTTAGGCTGATATAAAGAGCCAAAGTCCTGCACCACTATATACGTTAGCGTATGTACCTTTAGCTTTTGTCCCGCTAGCTCTTATTCCACTAGCTTTTGTCCAATTAGCTATTGTTCCATTAGGCTTTTTCCCGTTAGCTTTTAAACTATTAGCTTTTGTTCCGTTAGCTTATTTTCCATTAGCTTTTGTTCAATTAGTTTTTGTTCTGTTAGCTTTTAAACTATTAGCTTATGTCCTGTTTTACGAGTCCTGTAAATATATCAAAAGAAATCCAGGCTGCTAGTAAATTAACAACTTAGCCTAGCATACCGCATGCTAACATGTTGGCATTCGTAGTGGACAAAGATATCGACTGCAAACACAGAGAATATTTGAGGGTTTAAATTCTTAAAAAGGACTAATGTTGGCCTCTTGTATCAGTATAATCCCACTTCTACTACTGTTCCACATGTACTCTAAGTACTTTTATTTAGCGTACATGGTTGCTTTCTCATTATTTGACTTCTAACGAAGTTTAACATCAGATTAAAGACACACGTTGTCTTGAGCAGCTTCTCTTGAGATGGTGTCTCAGATTTCATTCTTTTATAAATTTTCCACTGTCGCACCATCTGATATTAAGCTCACATGCTGGGGGAAAGTCGGTGTTGTTTTGTTGAAAAATTGCATTGAAAAAGAAAACGTGTTTGATTTAATGCCACAAAATGTTTGGTTTAATGCCAAACTCTTGACACCTATAAGGTGTAATTTGCTGCCATGTTCAAAACTGTCACTGCATCCTACATGTCTACCCTGACTTTCCAGCTTTAGTTTGACATTTCTGAAGTTGCACGTGAATTCAGGTGATTGTTAAAGGAATCCTACTTGTTGAGCTGTTTGAAGGTGAAACTGTGGCTTCAAAATAATATTTTTAATATTTCTTTGGTAAATTCTCAAATATTGGCCTTTTATTTACCTAAAACTGACCTTTATCAGTCTTATATTACAGGCTTTTACTTAAAAACTTCTATATTTTATACATATATTTTTACACCTTTTAGCTTCCCTATATTTCCCAGTTGCTTCCAGTTTTTATTTCTAATCTCTGTTAAACTACCGTTAAATTATAAGCAACTTCCAAAGCTTTAAAAGCCTTTATCTGTTCGTGCTGACCTCTTAATATCGGTTATTATTTGAGAATTTACAGTTGTTTCATTTTGTAGTTCCTCTGTTAAACTGATGTGCTGCTCTCAGGGCTCTTGTTAATGCGTTTTGTCTATTCTGCTCTTTCGTTTTGGATGATTGCTGCATGCAGAGACCTTGGAAGAGGAAGGTATGTTGATTTGGAAAAACTAAAATTCTGACGAATCTGTAATCATTCATTCTGGTTTTGGGAGGACCACGGTGTCTGACGTCTGTACCTCGGGGGAACGCCTGCTGTTCACAAAAATGTCTGTCAAAAAATCCAGGAGCGCTGCCCAATTGGCACTGAGAGTTTGAAATTCTGAACAAAAAAAACTAAAAACACAATTTTAAAAACCTTATGGAACAAGTTTTCAGATTAAAGCTGCTAGTGGAGAAAAAGGGTGAAAGAATACGAGATGCTAACACGTGCTTTACTGCGCAGCGACCCCAGCGTTAAACTCTTTGCTATGCCACTCGTCTTCTGCATGGCATGGAGCGCCAGAATCTGGGTGTAGAGACGAGAATGAACCGGAGGGGAGGGGGGGACTTTGTGTTGCTTGTGTAAAATGGTTTTGGGGTCAAGCCAAATAAAAACATGACACATATCGTACGGTACATAAATGTCACAGTTTATTTAGACAACTGAGGCTCTTTTTTTTTAAAGACAAGTGATGCTCTTTTTTTGTAATAATTCCACGTTGTGTTTCTGTAACGTCACTCACAGCAACATGCTTCTTTGATATCCACAAACCTTCTGTTAATTGTTTGCTCCTCTTACAGTGTTCACCTGTTGTTCTAACCCTAATTTAAACACTGAGGCTGTTTTTTAATCTTAATTCTTTTTAAACATGCAGTTTAATCCATGTACTGCTGAGAGAAAGTGAAATAATCGGCTTTGTTTCTAACCCCATGACATGTACTTGTCCCCTCTTCGTTTCCTAACCCTGCAGAGGAGAAGCCAAAGTTCAAGTAAGTTTCCTTCTCGTGCACTTCAACATGATTTCTGCAGTCATTTCCACCCGAGACGTTTGGCTGAAAAAAAAGAAGCAATAAAACAATATTAAAATCAGTGCACTCAAGGTGAGAACTCTGCCTCCTTTAGGCCCAGCGCTCCTAAAATCCCCGATGGTGAGAAAGTGGACTTTGATGTAAGTGGACCTGAATTGACGGATTGAAGTGTTTCTGTCCGACGTTTGACGTGTTTTTGGCTGAAGGTTTGTTTTCTGCACTTCTGACCTGCAGGACATCCAGAAGAAACGTCAGAACAAGGATCTGATGGAGCTGCAGGGTCTGATCGATGCTCACTTCGAGGGCAGGAAGAAGGAGGAGGAGGAGCTGATCGGCCTCAAGGACAGGATTGTGAGTGTTCAGCAAGAGCCTTTTTAAACCCCACTAATGATGAAGTCTGCTCTCCTGACAATGACGTCCTCATACAAAACAATGGTCAGTCATGTTTGGAGGGGATCGTATTTCAGCCCAGCATCATGGCAGCTGGTGAAATAGTCACAAAAACAGTCTATTAGTTTCATGTGCACGGTTCTGTTGACTAAACCGAACTGTTGGTTATTTTAAGGCCAACCATTATGTTTTTTCCTTGAGCTAACAAAGTGGTTTTGTTGCCTTAAATTAACTTTCGGGACGCAAAAACTGACAATTTGGGTCCCTGAACAGGAAACCACGACATGGGTTTTTCACATGGGACAGTGTCCCATGTGAAAAACAAGAGTTACCGTTGACTCATTTTAATTCACTTCTGTAACTTGAATAATGTAACAGAAACGTCCTTATTTTAGGGCGAGTGCCGTGATGTTTTACCTGCAAACAATAGAACTAAATTAAACAATATTTACATATGTTGTTTGCAGGAGAAGCGTCGTGCTGAGAGAGCCGAGCAGCAGAGAGTCCGGTCTGAGAAGGACAAGGAGCGCCAGGCCAAACGTGAGGTTCGTGGTTTTATCTTCTTCTTCTTCAACCCTTAAGCCCTTAAACCCTCAGGGGGGGGGGCCGGGATCTGTCTGTTCTGAGGTCATCAAAAATGTTATTTGCACATGTATAACTAAAATAATAGTAACACACCCACTGGATAGTTTAAATAAATGTCTGTCTACTTCACGTTTCTTTGATAAGCAGAGGGGGCTTCAAGGGTCTAAATAATGTTTAAATAATAATATTCGTGGTCTCATGGAGGCTGAGTGAACGGTGGAGTCGGACTCGGAGGTCTCACTCTGACTCGTTTTCATTTTTCTTTTCTTCTTTGGTGTGAACCAGGAGGAGAGGCGGATCAGGGAGGAGAAAGACCTGCAGAAGAAGTCAGATGAAGACGCAAAGAAGAAGTCGGCTCTGTCCAGCTTGGGCTCCAACTACAGCAGCCACCTGCAGAAAGTCAGTACACAGTAGTACCGCCTGCTAGTACAAGTAGCTTATCTGCATAGCAGTGGTGCACAGTCACTAAGGTCCTCGAGTATCTTGATCTTAGGTACGGAAGCTCGAAATGGTTCAATGATTTAAAAATGATTTTTTTTTTTAAAGGTTTTAATTTGCCATTATGTTATTGTTATATGGTCATCTTTGCTATCTAACAAAGCTTGTTTCCTCGAGTTGAATCATGTCCCTTTAGGGCTTCCGTACTTATGTTACTTTACACTTTGATTCCACTATTTCAGAGGTAAATATTGTACTTTTTACTGCTTTTATCTGACAGCTTTAGTTCCTTTTCAGATTAGGATGTTGAAAAGCTATACTCACAGATAAAACTAGCTTAATCTCAGTCAGCTGCATATTTACAATAGTATAACTTGTAAAAATGACAATGTATAATCAGTAGTTTTACTTTAAATACACTCATAATACTTACATACTTATTTCAATAAGTAGGAATTCCATCTTTGAATACTCCATTGCAAGCAAAAGTCCTGAATTGAAGTATTATCAACTAAATGTACGTTAAGTATTAAAAGTGAAAGTACTCATTGTGCCGAAAAAGCTAATTTATTATGTAGACATTACTCTTCAGCTTTTATCATGTAGTAGTTCGTCAATGTGGAGCCAATTTGAGATACTTTGTATACTACAAATACTGCATATATGTAAAAAGTAACTAAAAGTGTCAAATGAATGTAGTGAAGTATAAAGTACTGAGTTAGATTCAGTGCTTTTCCTTAGAGATGAAAGTACTGCTGTTAACCTGTGAACAACCTGAACAGGCTGACCAGAAGAGAGGAGGAAAGAAAGAGACTGAGAGAGAGAAGAAGAAGAAGATCCTGGCCTCCAGACGCAAGCAGCTCAACATCGACCACCTGAACGAAGACAAGCTGAAGTACGACTCAAAACTCAGTATTCACGTTTTCAGAGCATCACAGGGCGATGAAACAAACTCTCTGCACTTAAAAGAGTTATTTTTATTCATCTTCCGTGCGTGTGTTCTTGTGTTTCCTGCAGGGATAAGATCACCGAACTGCACGAATGGATGACCCAGCTGGAGTCTGAGAAGTTCGACCACATGGAAAGACTGAAGAGGCAGAAATACGAGGTGAGACCCCCCCCCCCCTGCTGGGGTAATAATATTTAATACGTTTATTGTTCGTGCTGGAGCTTCTCAACCTGATGTCAAGGTCCCTCTATGGGTCACTGGATGGGAACAAGGGGGACGTTTCAATGCGTCATAAATTGTTTGTTTTATTTAATTTATTTAACATATTTGTTGTTAAAATCTACAATATGAAAAACAAAATCAATTATTGGGGCTAAAAGCAGAATTATTGGTTGGAAGAGGTTGAGAAACTCTTTTAATATCAACATTGCTAAAAGGCAGTTTTTTTTGTCTTTTACTTTTAACTTCCCCGTTACAGATACTTAGTGACACAAAAAGTATCGTTATAACGTGAAGACGGGAGCTTATTAAAGAGTTCATCCTGCAAATGATACATTACAATTTAAGTTTCGATACTTTAATATCTTTACTTTCTTAAGAATATCTTTATTGCAGGTAATTGTTGAATGCAGTCTATGTTACTACAGCAATCTTCCATTTTCTTAAAGGAACTATTTTAAAACGGCGCTAAAGAACGTACAATTAAAATTATTTACTTTAAAAATGTCCTTTTTGTCATTTTGTATTGACTTGCTAGACTGGATATTTAGATTCCTTATTTATAGTTGTTGTTCTTGTGGTTGAGAGTTGTAGCGGTTAATTAAGTTGAGTATTTGAAACCTTTGGCTTCTTTTGCTAAAACAAAAAGGTATATATCTTCTAAAATATGGAAGAAAAGTTTTGCTTTGTCAGGTATCGTATCATTACTCAGCCTTCAATGCACTTAATCAACATATTCCTCCCCAGATTTGTCCTCGGTATGTACTCTGATCTACACATTTAAAACCCACGAATCCACACTTTGCTCAGACTGTAGCAGCTCTTTGTTGTTGTTGTTGTTGTTGTTGTTGTTGTTGTTGTTGTTGTTGTTGATGATGACGGTGAGCATCCAGCCGAGCGAAACCTCCGGGTTTGAACCCTCGATATGCCCTTTGATTCCCTGCAGGTTACAACCCTGCGTAAGAGAGTGGAGGAGCTCAGTAAATTGTAAGTAGAGCTGAGCAGCAGGGAGGTTTTAAAGGCTCGCTGCATGTTAGCATGAAGGGTCATGAAGAACCACAGCGCCCCCCGCTGGCCGAGAGAGGACACGACATACCACCAGGAGGGAAAAAAGACTGATAGAGGGAACTGAAGAGTTTGTTTTCCAAAACCTGAACATCCGCTATGGAAAAAGATAATCAGACGGTTAAATTCCCTTTATCTTGTTTATTTTAAAGAAAGCATCAAAACTTTAGTTTCACTTTGCTTTAAGTAAACAAAACCACCCATGAGTCAGTCTCCAAATGTTCTTAATGCTTAACAAAAAAAAGTACTTTAGTTAAAACGTAAGGAAACTCTTTGCTTAGATTCACATATTTTAATGCGTATTTTAGAAGTATTGCATTAGAAAAGCTACATGCGAGTGTATTCGCTCCAAACCAGTTGATTGAAACGCGTCTAATTTGCATTTCTTATTTGCGGCATTTCAAAAAGTTGATTAACTTTCCATATAAATTCTCGCATTAATAGGAGGGCATTTATCTTTTATGTAACTACAGGAATTTGTTGTCAAAATTAGATATGAAGACGTTCTTCTCCCTATAATGTAAAAGATATTTTTATGAGACAAAAAATTGAGAATTGAGGACACATCTGAGCTTCCGTACCTAATTTACACAAACTTGAATTGAATGAATGTAAAGACTATGAAGGAAATTGTTCTATGAAACAGTTAAGTTACCTTCCATCCTTTCCAAAGGTCTATTTATATGTATTTTCTTTACTGTCATTTAATTATCAATGTCAATTTGGAATCAAACTCTTCAGTTAAAAGCAGATTAATGATCTAAAGTGGGCGTAAATATGGTATTGAGCTCGTCCACATTCTGCCCTGGTCTGGATGTTTAGCATCACAGAGCTTTGGGTTCAGGTGTGTGAGCGAGCGGTCCAACAGGTAAGTTGGACTTTCAGAGGTTTCAGAGCCGAGCTGAAGCCGAGTCTCTCTGAAATGTCCACATTTCTTCTTTTTGTCGGGGAAACCACGACGGGCGTTTCAATGCAACAATGATCAGACGGTTTATAATCGACAATAGTTTGATCAGGAAGTTATGTAAGTCCCAGATTTGAGCATTGATAGCATTCAGTGCTCTTTCGGGACATTCTACAATTACAAATCACATAAACGTGAACACAAAGGAAACACTGATCACATGCATTGGCCCCCATCTTGGTTTCCCATGATGCTTCAGCCCATGGTGCCGGTTGGAGGAGAGCAGAGGGAAGTCCTTTTCCTTGGAGGTAAATGCGTTAAAGCTGCTGCTGTGTCGTTTTTCAGGTGCTCTCATACAGGAACCGCATTGATGAGTTACAGAAGCAGTAAGTACCGGCATTGCCGGATTTTCCTGACACCCGGTGGGCTAATCCTCAAAAACTTACCTCCCACCTGTCTGCGTGAACCTTCCCTTAGCCGGACATAAGTGTCATGACCTTTCATGGCAGTTTATGGCAGAAACATTCCCTTATTAGACACTGTTTATGTGTTTTATCTGATGTTTAAACTGGATATTGGAAAGGCAGATGTTTGCATGTTCGAGAAGATTTGTAGCTTCAGTCTATAAAACTGTTTTGTTCAGTTAAGTTTCAACATGATAGCCCAAAATCTGAACTCAGAGGTCATGTTGTCATGTCACGCTTGTCTCCACTACTGTGATGACGTTAGCTATTTAGGAATATTATATTTCTGCAGCACGTTGAATATTAAGTCATTAAATTAACAGGCTAATAAGCTGCAGTTTAATAGTTTAGCAGGCTAGCTGATCAGCTAATATAGCCGACTAATATATAATATATGATTGATAATTACTTACTAGCTAACGTATAAAATCTAGCATAAATAAACTGAATTGTTACAGTTTATTAAAGGATTTCTAAAAGTCAAAAGGTAAAACAAACATGTTACTTATGTCATTTCAAAATTGTAGAAGTCTAGCTCACCAACTTATATAGCGGAAGCCTAATATGGCCAAGTACGCTAACTAGCTAACGTAGAAAACGTATGTTAAAAGTTAAAAATAAACATTTTACTTTTGCCATTTTGAACATTCAGCAGGCTAGCTGACCAGCTAATATAGCTGAAGGCTAGTATGGCTAGCTTGATAATGGAAAGTCAGCTAGGCTAACTAGCTAATGTAGAAAACTTAGAAAGTATAACTGAACTGAATTGTTTAAAACTAATAGTAGGGTTTCATAATGTTGACCTCAGTTTGATTTTACTCTCCTGAAATTAAACATTTGTTGACTAAAATGCTAATCTTGTTTGTACGTCTTCAGGGAGACACTGTTGAGTTCATGTTGTAGAAAAGACAAATTGTGGAATTTCATGCAAATGGTTTGCTAAATCGACTGAAGATTAATATATATATATATATATATATATATATATATATATATTATTAATTGGTTAGCTTGATTTAGCAATCTGTGTGCATATTTTTACATTTTCTTTTCCTGAGATACGTAATGTCCTAAACATATTAGGTGTCATATATCTTTTGTTTCCATTGGTAACTGTTAACATCCTGGTATCATCCAGTGTCGGTTATGTGGGGAGTGTTCCCTGGCATTCTCTGAAACATTATGGATAAACCTCTCAACAAATATTGGTCAATAAAATGTAGATAGTGGAAACTCTTTGAGACTGAAAAATAAATCAAACAATGACAAAATAAATCGTTTTTAAGTGCAATTATGACCCAAAATGGTGCATCCTTTTTTCAGTGTAAATGTCAGGGCGCTCCTCTTCATACTGACGCCTTTACTTCTATGTGTGTGAGAGACATTACGACAGTAACTGTAAAGGTAATCACAGTAAGTTAGTGTTGGACTGTGGGACTCGGTCATGATGCATTGAATGTGCAGGTAAGTGTTGCACGAGTTTGTTTATTTTTTTTCTGCCTGAACCACAGAGACGTCACCACAGAGACGTCTGACTGTACTGTCGTAGACTGGAAATGTTGCCATTTCTTTGCCATTTTGCATGTGGTTTTAAAGTCATTTTGGAAAAAGGCACGCATGTAAAAATGACATCGTTTTAGTCCTTGAGTACTAAAATAGTACTATTTCGTGATCTAGACAGTTTATTTTTTAATAATAGCAGTTTAAAACACGGGAGCACCTGGCAAACTGTATTTTGTTCCATTAAGTGAAACGTACTTTCCTCGTTCATTTACTTTTTAAATTGACTGTAGCAGGTAAATGTTAACCGCACGGGAAGGAGTCATTAGCTACGTTAGCTACCCACGATCGGATAAATATACAAACAAAACCTGTTACATGCAAACAAGACAGAAAACTGAAGAATTAAAACTCATCATATCGAGCTGACGGAATATACTGTATGTGAACAAGAGGGAGAGCGAGCGTTGTAGCTGCTTTCTGTGTCCGTTAGCATCCCGTTAGCATTCGTTAGCAGTGTCGGACATAGTTTATCTGTTTCCTGATCCGCACTTTAGACCTTGAGATGTTTTACAAATTTGTTAAACGCACGCCAGATTTCTGACATTTTCCTGTTTTTTTTCGTATTACAGCAGCAAGAAGGGAGCCGCCCGCCGCAGAAAGTAGACCGTCTCAGAAAGGCAACTGCGATCGTGTCGGACACACGCCTGATGAAACAACGCACACGGCGGCGACGAAGATCGTAGCTCAGAAGAAGAAGAAGAAGCCAGTCACGCTGAGGTGGACTTCAACCCACGTCCTGACACATGCAACCAGGAGCCTTTAGCTGCTGTTCAATAGGAATTAAAACAAAAAAAAGAAAAACTTGATTCGCCATCACGCTTCCTCGCCCTCAGCTGTTTGGTTCTCAGAATTTTTGTAAATAAAGTGTGACACTTCAAGCCATGTCTGTAGAGCTGTTGTCATTCAGAAATCAATAAAGTTCAGTATTTTTCAGACAGTCGTTTGTTCAACACTGTTTTCTGACTGCAGAGTTGAATCGAACTTCGTCAGCAGGATTTCTGGAGGCTCTGCATTTAAATAACTAGCGCAAAGTCTCAAACGTCTTTATTTTACCCAAATGCTCTTAGCAGTAGAAGTAAAGAATAATGTTTTTAGGGTTTTATATTATTGTTTTTAGTATTAAAACGTACAAATGCTGCAAAAGATATATATTTTAAAAGAAAGAAACTCTACAGAGACAGATTCATCAGATGTTGGTCATAAAACTCACTTCATGGACTGATTAATGAGATTTCATCATTATTCTTTTACTATTTCTATTTTTTAGAGGCTTGAATCCAATAATTGTCACTCTCGTTACTCACCAGCTGATTGAGACAACAGCAAACAGGTGTGTGATTGTGTGATTGCTGACTGCTCAGCTGTGTTCAGGTGAGTCTATAAAGCTCAGCAGAGTTCAGAGCGACAGAAACCTCTGAACGTTGAGCTCATTTTCACGTCCGTTTGGTTGCTGCGATGATTTTAGTTGGGAAGTGATTTGAGAAAGAGTGAGACAATTTAAAGAAGGTTTTTAAAATCAAGAATCAACCTTGGCTTGTTGTTATTGTTCAGTTTTGATGCAACCAACACGTTTCACTGAGCTGAATGAGCGACATCTCTATTTCTACAGCCGACGGCTGCAACCCTCCAACATCACAGCTCCACGGAGCATGTGTCGTACCCAATAGTTCAAGTGTTCAAGTCTTCTTTCAATAGGCCAATACCAACCAGGAAGAGACTCCTAATGACCACAAAGACACATAAAACAACTACAAAGAGACACAAAGACACAACCAACGAGAGATGCAGAACAGCTTCAAAGTGATGCAGAGAGACTCTGTGACTAAAGGAGCACAATGGCCACAAAGAGACACAAAATGACCTCAAAGCTTCAAAGAGTCGATACTCAAAACAACTAAGAAAAAGGGCTGAATATCCACAAAGAAACATAAAACGACTACAAAATGATCAAAGAGAAACATAAGAACTACGAAGAGACACAAAGACGACAGATCAACTAAAAAGATGCAAAACGGCTTCAAAGTGACACAAATAGACTCGTGGCTGTGAAAAAGGGAAGAATAGCCACAGAGACACAAAATGACTACAAAGAGTCTTAAAGCAACTACAAAGAAACAAAATGATTACAATTGGACACAAATTGTCAGACCTCATAGCTCAAGACCGTGTCCCAGCCTTCATTCAACAGCACCAACTACGTAGAGACTTAAAACAACTACAAAATGCTACAAAGCAACTACAAAGAGACTCAGAATTACCAAAAAAAAACATAAAACAACTACGAAGAAAAAGAGCAAAATAGCTTCAAAGAGAAACAAAATGACAAAGAGACTGAAGATGACACAGAAACACAAAACAGCTCAGAAGACTCAAATCAGCAACTGAAAGAGACGAAACAGCCGTTTGTGTTCCATCGTGGTTCAACAGAACATCTTCACTTTCATATATTCCTCCAGTGTGAAACATTATTTTGTTTGTTTTGCAATATTTCAATATTTTCTGAATTCCTGGTGTTTCCAAACTAAAACATGTTGAAAACAGAAGCTGTGTCGACTCACTGGGATACTTAAACATCATTAGTGTTATTAACACCTCAGCTTTTATTGTGACGGGGAAAAGTGTCTCCTGTGAAAAAAGGGTTTATTCTGAAGGGTTTAACACCGTCTTAAAAAACATTACCTCATGTGGTGATGATGAGGATGATGAGGATGAGGATGATGATGAGGATGATGATGATGATGGTGGTAGCTTGAAGTTTTGTTTGTGCTCTTGTTTAGGTGGAAGAAGTACTCAGATATGTTACTTCAGTAAAATAAGTAATACTACAGTGTAGAAATATATACTGCTGGATAGTTTAATCTATAACATTACATCATTTATTAGTTGACTATATATTGTTTTAATAGTCTGAATCTGTAAAGTAACTACAGCTGTCAAATAAATGTAGTTTACCTCTGAATACTAGTGGAGTAGAAGTACTAGTACACCAGATCTGTACTTGTGTACTTTTCACCACTGGGGTTGTTATCAAATATATAATGATACACATATATCATGATACACAGCATGTAATAACCACATGGTGATGTATACTCCTGTGTGAATGAAATACTTGATCAATGAAAAGTATTTTCTCATTTAATTAATAACTTTAGTGTAAATTAATCCGATTTTCTGAGAAATGTGAGATATTAGACAACGTAGAATTGTGTCTCGACACACGATTTCATCACAATGTGATTCCACTGAAAGAGGATCAATTATCTTATAACATGTGAAGTGTTTTTACAGAATTAAATGTCAAATAAATGCAATTTACAGTGAGAATGAGATTGAAACACCTGCAGTTCTTCATTTAACCGCACGGTGGTGCTGCAGCTCTTTGAGACAATGTGTGAACAATTATTTAAATGTTCACTTCATTCTAAATTAAAACGTTTTCCTGATGACGGATAATAATCATATTATTATTTATTTTGCAGCTATTGTAATATATATATGTATGTGTATATATATATAGATAAAATATAGATATATAAATAATATATAGAGCTGTAGATAGAACCTTTAGAAAAAATGTAAATAAGATTAAACTAAATTATAAATGTATATTAAAAGCAGAGTTCTTCTGTTAAAAGCAGTTAAATTTATATTTTAATTAATGCTTAAATATATCTAAAAAGTAAATATCTAAAATATATTTGTTTGTATGTTTATTGTGTAACTTCACCACAAACACTTTAATTTCCCTGAAAAATAAAAAAGTGAAAGTAAATAATGAATCATAAAATAAGAGCTCTAAAGAAATGAAGACGCCGAGTCGTGGTTTAGTATAAATAAGCAGATTCATTTATTTGTCATTAGACCGTCACTCAGTTTTTCAGATGTATAAATATAAAGTTTAACATTTTCACAACAAACAAAAGCACAGACAGAAACATTAAATACATAATTAATACGTCCAGTTGGAACCAATCAGCTCTTATTTACATAATATGTACAGAAACAGAAACGTGGTCCTAAATAAAGTGACAGGAAGGAGGTCTGAGCCGACTTCACCCGAACTCTTCCACTTATTCATTCCTGCAGGTTTGTATGACATCGTCCTAAAATATCACAGGATTATTGCAGATGTAGTTTTATGAACAGCTGGTTTTATGAACAGCGGGTTTTATGAACAGCTGGTTTTATGAACAGCTGGTTTTATGAACAGCTAGTTTTATGAACAGCTGGTTTTATGAACAGCTGGTTTTATGAACAGCTGGTTTCATGAACAGCTGGTTTCATGAACAGCTGGTTTTATGAACAGCTGGTTTTATGAACAGCTAGTTTTATGAACAGCTAGTTTTATGAACAGCTGGTTTTATGAACAGCTGGTTTTATGAACAGCTGGTTTCATGAACAGCTGGTTTTATGAACAGCTAGTTTTATGAACAGCTGGTTTTATGAACAGCTGGTTTTATGAACAGCTGGTTTCATGAACAGCTGGTTTTATGAACAGCTAGTTTTATGAACAGCTGGTTTTAAGAACAGCTGGTTTTATGAACAGCTGGTTTTATGAACAGCTGGTTTTATGAACAGCTGGTTTTAAGAACAGCTGGTTTTAAGAACAGCTGGTTTTATGAACAGCGGGTTTTATGAACAGCTGGTTTTATGAACAGCTGGTTTTATGAACAGCTGGTTTTATGAACAGCTAGTTTTATGAACAGCTGGTTTTATGAACAGCGGGTTTTATGAACAGCGGGTTTTATGAACAGCTAGTTTTATGAACAGCTGGTTTTATGAACAGCGGGTTTTATGAACAGCTGGTTTTATGAACAGCTAGTTTTATGAACAGCGGGTTTTATGAACAGCGGGTTTTATGAACAGCGGGTTTTATGAACAGCTGGTTTTATGAACAGCTGGTTTTATGAACAGCTGGTTTTATGAACAGCGGGTTTTATGAACAGCTGGTTTTATGAACAGCGGGTTTTATGAACAGCGGGTTTTATGAACAGCTGGGCTTCTTATGGCTTCAGATGGACGAACGTGGAGGAATGTAAACGGATGTTTTGTCGACTTTTGGCCTCCGTCTGAACGACTCAAACTGAGCCTTTAAAGTGTTTTCTCATAACTTGGAGAGAACCGAACTGATTGTAGTCATCAGTTTAAACAAACTACAATTCCCAGCATTCAAGTGGTTTGTACACTAAATATAAAACGTGCTTGTTTTAACAGCAGGAAGTAGAATCTGGGGGTCAAACATGTTGAGCTGTGGAAGATCATTCCTGCAGGAAGTAAAACGGATGGAAACTTTGGAATGATGACATCAACTCTTACTGGACATTTATTAACATTTAGTTTCTATATTCCCCCTTTTAATCTTATTTTTCAAAATAAGAGCATAAGTTTAAATAACGATTAGTATCACTTAATTCAAATTTCATTTTGTGATTATTATTTGTCGCTAAAAATTATAATAATAATATAATAAATTATAATAAAATATTATTAAGACTAAAAATTTATATTTGGAAATAAAGTTTTTGTTGTAACCTCGAGGTTTATTTCCAGATCTTTCGATTATATCTCTGATCTTCATCAGCTCGTGGAGTTTGTTCAGTGACTAAGAAATCTATAAAATCTGATATAAAATATCAAACTCCATCTACTGATGAAGACTCTGTAACATCAGTAACTTAAGATTATTTTTAGATTTCTTTTTGACGAGTTCAAAAGTCACGAATGATCTTTCACACTCTTATTATTATTATTATTATTATTATTATTATTATTATTATTTTCTGTCAGGAATGAGCTTCCATACATTTCAGCTTCATGAAATAAAAACAGATATTTGTTTGTAGATTATAAAACGCTGATCAAACAGTTTGAAGACTCAGTTCAGTAGTTTTCAAATTGAATTAAATGAAATGAAAAATATATTTTCACTGTGTGTGTGTGTGTGTGTGTGTGTGTGTGTGTGTGTGTGTGGTAAAGTCCCGGGTGTGAAGGTCTATAGGACTTGATAGATCAGGTTGGGGTCCTGGCTGCCGGTCGAGGTGGAGGGGACCTGGACGGGCCCCGGGGCCGCTGCCTGGGTGGTGGGGTCCGGCGGCGAGGCCCCGGGGCCCGAGGCGGCGGCGGAGGAGGTGGAGGTGGAGGAGGTGGTGGCAGCCGGCAGCAGGCTGCTGCTGTTGCAGGCTGCTGCTGTTGTCGTGGAGATCCGCTCCACGATGCTGGACAGACAGTCCAGACTGGAGACCACGGAGCTCCGGTTACTCTTCAGACCGCCTGAACACACAAAGCATCAGTTAATATTCAGAAGCAGGAATTATTAACATTTCAATGTTTTCTTTCACAACAAACACATCCTGATTCAAAACATCATGAACATCTGTTCTGTCTGTTGGTTCAACTGTTTGATTAGTTTAATTATTAAAGTTTAACACAGAAGTCAATGTTTCTATTATTGTGCTGCTTTCACTTCATCTGTTTGATTCCAATCGTTTTACTGTAAATAATAATAATAACAAACAGTTTCTTTATTCATATCTGGATTATTCTAACAAGATGTTTCAGTAAAATGTGCTGAAAGTTGAGTGAGCGTTCCCAATAAAAGCTCAGTATTAATGTTAAATTATGATTATTTAACATAAATGAATAGCTGATTCAACTAATTAGCTTTTCTAATATTTTAATTTATACAAAATGTTTCCAATAAAAAAAAGCATTCGGCTCATTTGGTTTTTTTTAAACAAAAATCTCCTTTTTATAATTTAGATTTCAGCTCACTCTCTTTGTTTTACCATCAATCAGAAGCCTGTTGTCCTGTTAGCTGTAATAATATCCTCATTATTATAATATAATAATATGATTATAATAAGTCCTTTGTGGTTTCTTACCGTTTGGAGTCTCTGAGAAATAAGAACTGTCATAACTTCCTCTCCTGTTTGATTGACAGGTCGGGCCGTTAAAATCCGTCTGTAGAGAAAAACACAAAAGGAAAGAATTCATAAATAGTTTCAGTAACATTTCTGCATAACTTCTGAAAACACGAAGCCTGAATGTTGAGCTGTCGCTCCAAAAGAAAACTGGATAATAAGTTTAAAAAAAAAACCCAAAAAGGTAAAAAAAATAATTTAGAAAAACGTAGAGAAAGGCAGAATGTATTTGAAACAAAGTGAAAACAAACTAGTGACTCGTTGTTTCCGTTTTGGTGGTGAAGTCTTTTTTAATATATAATGTTTATTTTCGTTAAAGGTTTTAATTACTGCAGAACAAAGAAAATAAAAATCATCAAATAATTAAAAACAAAACGCAGCTTCTGAATGTGTTCGATACAGTCGTTAAAAACTCAAAAACGTAAATAACATTTAAAACGATTTAAAAACATAACACGTGAACATGTAGATCGGCCCTCTGTTGATTTAAGACATTTATGAGATCTAACGAAAAACATGTTGAGGAAAACATGTTGCATTTAAACTACTTTTTAATGTATTTTTCCTTCTGACCCTAAACTACAGATATTCTTAAATTAGATTGAATAAGAGTGCAGACTGTCTTCATCTCTGGAGGATTATACCAGCTGTAGACCACCAAAATAAGAGAAAATGATCCTTTAGAAAGAAATATATATCTTTCTGAAACATAAATATAAGTAGAGTTTCATGAGCTACAATGTCACGTGGGAACAGTTAAACATTTAGAGAACACATCCAACAAAATGATTGAAAGAAAAGAAAAGAAAAGATCAAAGTAAATACTGAGTTAAACGAAACCAAAGTGAACCTCACACCGTGTCCGTGCGTAAAGACGCACGGGAGAAACACCTGTCGGTCCCTGAACTCACCATTCCGTCGGAGCAGTTGGACCGGGGGCTGGACGCGTCGGAGTCCCCGCTGTAGTGCTCCAGCACCGGGTAGAAGCCGTCGTCCTTCCCGCCGCGCAGCAGCGCCTGCAGGGACTCGATGTAGCTGATGGCGTTGCGCAGGATCTCCACTTTGGGCAGCCGCTGGTTGGGGTTGGCCGACGTGCAGCGTTTCAGGTTCTCGAACGCGTCGTTCACCTTGCAGAGCCGCCGGCGCTCGCGCAGCGTGGCCGCCTTCCTCCGGTCCGCGTTGGTGGTCTTCCTCTTGCAGGCCTTGCAGGCCCAGAGCAGGCAGCGGCCCGCCTGGTGGTGCCCGCTGGGCGCGCGGACGTGCTCGTCGTCCTCCGCCTCGGCGCGGTGATGGAGATGCAGGAGGGAGGACGAAGAGGAGGTGGAGGAAGGGGAGGGCGAGGGTGAGCAGGAGGAGGAGTCGTCCGGCTTCAGCAGGCCCACGTGGACCAGCCGCGGGTCCAGGTCCTCGAAGAAGTGCATGTCGCTGGTGTTGAAGCACGGGTCGTCGTAGAAATCATCGGCGGCGGGGATGGGGAAAGAGATATCCGACAGCTCCATGGTTCCAAGTCCCAAAACACACACACCACAGAAGAAGAAGAAGAAGAAGAAAAATCCAGGACAGAAGAAGTGGGAGGACGTGGAGCTGTCAGTGTGTTTGTTTCTGGGAATGTGGAGTCCTGTGACTCTGTTCTGTCCTCTCAGCTGTTGACCTGGAGCCTCTTATACCTGCGACACCAGTGGGGGGCGGTGTCAGCCCCGTGAGGTCATCTGGGGTCTGACCAATCAGCTGGCAGCGGGAGGGGTTTACAACTTCACGGTAATTAGTGTACAATTACCCGTAACAGAGCAGCAACAGCAGGGTAATATACTGCTGCTCTCAGTGGGGGAAGAAGTATAAAGTACCTCAATGTTTTTACTCTTATTTATGACTTATTGGGGACAAATACACACCGAGTTCATTCATAAAGAAACGTGGTATTTACATAAAAGGTATCTGTGAAATTGATGAGGCCGGTTTGGGAAAAAATTATAAAAGAATTAAATCAGAGGCCGAAACTAATAGAGAATGGAAAATACATGAAAGAACGTAAAATAATGAATTTAAAGGGAAACACAGACATTTAAATACATTAAAGATAATTGAAGTTGTGATAAAAAAAATTGTGCATAAAATAAAACAGTAAACATGATGAAATAGAGTTCAAATAAAAGCTCATCTGATGTTTAAGAAATCAAAATTTCTAATTTGTTCTATTAAAAGAAAAGAAAGCAAACAAACAAAAGTTTCTAAATCAAAACTAAACAAACATTAAAAAGTTGTTTTGTCTTGTTGAAGTAATCAGGTTTGGGCAAAAAAATATATATATATATTCAAAGTTGTAAGCTGTTCCTGTTCATAAATAAATCATATTTAAAGTTGAGGTTCCTATCATACAGATCAGCTGACCTTTGACCTCGTGGCTGTTTTGTCATTTTTGAACGAAAATTAAAAAACTGAAGAAAAAAAACCCAAAAATGAATGTATGAAAAGACTGTCACACCCAACATGAGCAGAAAGGACTTCATGCATGACTCATATTCATGTTCACTCATTTATTAAAGAGCGTAAATACTGAATGAACGTGTAAACTCAGTAATAAATTAATTAGTTTTAGACCAGAGATTCGCTTCCTTCCTCCTCTTCCTCTTCCTCCTCCTCCTCCTCCTCCTCCTCTTCATCATCATCACTGCACCGACTCCTTCCAGAAACCTTATAAATGCAGATTATTGATTTTAATAAAACGTGCAGCTGAGTTCCTGCTGGCTGCAGTTCTCCCGTGATGCCGCTGGAGGGCGCTGCAGAGCTCCTCTACGCACATGGGACGGACGGTTCGGACTGTGTGGACGCTTCAAGTGTTTGAGAAGATATTCAAACGCTCTGCTCAAAGGATTATCACCATCACTCCAGGAAGATGACTGACGGGTCTTTTAATGCAGGAGACTAACAACTGAATACACGCTGTTCCTGTTTTTAGCTGCTAATAAAGGTTTGTTTGAATGAGAGTAATGCTCCTAAACATCATTTAGGTCAGAAAATGCAGAATGACCCTTTAAATTGTCATATATATATATATAGTTATTTTTTAAACATGAAACGGTGCTGATTCTGGGGAAAGTTGGCTGCCGAAAATCAGTCTTTCTAACTTTATCGTCAAACGTTTTCTGAGACTTTTCAGTTCACTTAAAATAAACATCTTGTGATTATATTTAACATCCTTCATAGCTGAGATGTAAAGGTAACAGTATGTAGTATCAAATGACGAGTGTTGTTGCTGTTCATGTGCTTTATCTATTTATCTTTATGGTTGTAAGGTTTTTATATTGTTTGACAAATCCAAACATTTTCAATAAAAAGTTGAATGACAAAAAAATGCAAATTTCTATAAATCTTTATCTAACTTTATTTTATTGTGCAGAACAAACATCACACATCCTGTCTTCTCCTTCACGCGGAGCTCCGTCTGACCGAATTAAAAGTCACAAAACTAGAATATAATGAAACACTGAATACAAGGTGGACAAATAATACAAAATAAAAACACATTTATATGTTAGAATACACAAGTTCACAAACAGAAGAAGCAGAGTACCAGTGTACCAGCAGGAAACATGTATAAATACTACTGATTACAAATGATGTCGACCAACAAACTACTTCCTGTCGTTCTATACAGGCTGGTTATCAAACATAAACACTTTTTTGGTATTGTTCAAAATGTGTCGATATAAATGATTCATATTAGCATCAATCACCTGCTCAGATCTTCGGACAAATCATTTTAAACGTTGTTTATAGACCAGACCGTCACATACGTTTACTTTGCAAAACATGAATTTATTCTTCCCATAGATGTCAATGTAATTCTCCGTGTGTTTGGATTTTAATTTTGACAGTTTGAATACTTATTTATTTGTTTTAAACTTCCTCTGATAATTATTTTGTGACTTTGCTCGGAGCGCCGGAGCTAATTGTCCTGTCGGATTTGAGCTCGGAGCCAACTCCGTTAGCTAAACCTAATTTTGCATGTTCATCAATCATGATCAACCATTCATCAACGTCTCCAATCACACATCACAGAGAACAAACCCACACCACAAGACATTCAACAACATTATGTCATGAGCTAACGGTAGCTAACGCGGTTGACTGTGTTTTTAAAGAAAGAATAAATAAACATGTGTAGAACACAGCTCAGTGTTGATGGCAGTGAGATGACACAAATATCCATCTGGACTCTGGGGAAGATTGCTAACAAGCTAATTCCCCAAAATGCCACCTGGTCCTTTGGAGAAAATCAGATTCTAACTTTGACAGAAAACGATAGAGTATCATCTCGAATCAACGGAGACTTCCTCTGACTGATCCGACCGATCATCTGGTGAGCTCCTCCTGCAGCTCATTCAGGATGAACTCCCCGAACCCCCCCGTCTGGTCCTGGGTGCAGCCCACCCGCCGGGCGCTGGTGAGCAGGTCTCCCAGCAGTTTGAGGCGGTCCACCCGCGGCGTCAGGAAGCGGTTTTTCACGACGCCGGCGGCATGCGGGTCTCCGTGGTCGCGGGCGAGCTCGCTCAGCTCGACCAGGACGCCCACTTCCTCCTTCAGCTGGAGCAGCAGCAGCTCCAGAGCCGGTAACAGCGAGCAGACGGCCTCACAGAGCGGGTTCTGGAAGATCAAACATGTCGTATGATCAACCAGCCCAGTGGCAGAGCAGATGTGAAATAGTCACGAAATGGAAGCTATTGGTTTTGTGTTCAGCGACATGACGAGTCAGAGCGAGTGATGAACTCTATAATATCCAAGAAGACGAATATTCAACTGTTGGTGGTTTTGTTGCCTCAACCTAACATTCGTTAAATGAACTATACACTAAACTCTGCTTTATGGTCTGTTTGACTCTAAATGGACCATAATGTACTAAATGAACATCATGCTGTATTGAAGAAGACTTGAAACTAGAGATTGAGACATAAACTCATGTTTACAATGTTTACTGAGGTAATAAATCAAGAGAGAAGTAGAGTCATTTTCTCATAGACTTCTATACAACCAGAGGAGTCGCCCCCTGGTGGACACTAGAGAGAATGCAGCTTTAACACATGAAGCTTTGACTTCACATTAATGAACCGGAGGTTGTCTCCTGGTCTGAACACCAGAACATTTCAGCGTTTAGTCGATCCGTCTCTTGGAACATTAACTCTCTTAACTCAGCATCATTTTTATTTGATAGAATAGAAGGAGCCTGAAGTGAAGCGAGGCTGTCGTCGTCTCGTTGAGGTCGTCTTTGAGAGACGGATAACGAGGTCTCCCAAACTGCTTGCTGACTGGACTCGGGGGCCCTCGGCCCTGAAACGATTTTACACGAGTCATAAAACCCGGAGGCCACGCTGCGACGCGCCAACGCCGCTGCCGCCCGCTGAACCATCTGGAAACGCCATCAGCAACCACTGTCCCTCTGCCGCAGCATTAATCTCGCCAATTTTCCAGGGGGATGGGGGGGAGGGGAAATGTACACCCTGACTGGCTTTAGGCCAGAGTCAGGGTTTCAGGTCTCCAGGGGTCTAACCTCCCCTCCCTCCTCCTCCAGCCTCGTGAGCTCGTAACTCCCCCCGCCCTCCCTCTGAATGAAGACGAGGAAAAACAAGAAGCGATGAAGACACCTGCTCTGACAGGATGAAGGACGGCTCAGGAGGAACGGATAAATCCTGCTGATGGGACGTTTTTGGGAGTAAAAGGAGAACGCTGTTACAGACCGAAGCTTCTCCGTCTCACAGATAAAGTTCAGATCGTAAATTTAGTTTCAAATCGACTTCTTCGTAGCGGATCATCTAAACGAGGAAGGGCTGAACCGCCCCTCCCCCACAGGCGCTTCACCTCTGACCTCTGACAGTAACTCAGTACATTTACTGAAGTACTGCACAGTTTGTACTCCAGTACATTTATCTCTGGTTTCAGATTATATACTCAAAACATGAGTTGTGGATTCTTTACATACAGTAATTTAAATGAACCTCGTCTACACCGACTAAAACATAATACATATTCAAATATTTAAACACTAATAAAAGGGACGTTCTGCGTGTACTTTTGATACATAACAAGTACATTTTGTTGATTGTACACTGCGTATTTTTGAATGCAAAACCTTTACTGTAAAAGAATAATTGTACACTGTGGTATTAGTACTTTTATTGTAAGAGAGTATTCTGACCAAGTTGTATAAGGACTTTTACTGTGACATTGTATTTTTACTTTGTAGTGTTTGTACTTTAACTGTCACAGAGTATTACAGTGTGGTATTAGTATTCTTACCATGTTGTATAAGTACTTTTACTGCAGTAGAGGAATACTTCCTCTGCCTCAATGACAGCAGTATTAAACGGCAGGTTAAGTGAACTTAAAGTGGAGTACCAGCGAGTACCTGGACATCTTTGCCACAGTAGTTGCCCCCCCTCTCAGCCAGGTAGCCCATCATGGCCTCGGCCTCCTGCCGCTGCTTCAACGCCTCCTGGTGGAAGAAGGAAGCGGCGCGGGGAAGAGCGGCATCGCCGCGCTCAAACACACGGGCCTGCAGGAGAGAAAACGAGTGATGATCACAGTGAACCGTCACATAATCACCTCATCGTGAGGAGTTATGGAGACTCAACAATAAACTGTGTCGACATTTCACTTAGAAAGTTTATTTAGTCTATTTTCCGTCACTTCACCCTCATTCATTTCAATGGGAGCAACTCCTGCAGGGAAGCAAAGAGATGTAAGTGCCCTCTCCTGATCGACGTCTTGTTACTGTTTATTCTGACAGGAGATAAAATAATTGTTTCCATGCTCATCTTAAAGCTCTGTTCTTAGTTTTTGATCATCAGGTCAACATCATCAACAGTGATTTTAGCAAACAGTGGCTTCACATGACCTCTTTCTGACTTTTGCGTTTCAGGACTGAATGGATCATAAAAGGTAAACAAGCCACAAATGCTCTGAGAACTGCAGCCTGAGCCCTTTGGTCCTCAGTATCCCACAATGCACTGCACACATGTCGACAGCTCAAAATTGGAGGCTGTCATCTCATTTACATCAGGACACACGACCTGCTGAGTCAAACATCACGATTTGTACCTTTATATATTTAGTTGTTCTTGCCTTTTTAAGAATTTTACATTTAATTCTAATAACTTCTGCGATACTGTGTACGTTGCATTTTACTACTGTTTTAAACTTTTTATATACTTTTGGGATTAAAGGGGGATGAGTACAGTAAAAAGTACAATATGCACCTCTGAGATGTAGTACAGTAAAAAGTACAATATTTCATATATTTTAATCTAATACTCAATGAAAGTACAAGTACCTGGTGTTTCTAGGCCTACTTGAGTACAGTGGACTACTTGTGTACATGTATCTGTCCCACAGAGCAGACCTCCATGTGTCTCCTACCAGAGCCTCCAGCCGGTACTCTCCGTCCCACAGCAGGCTGCTCACGCCGCACAGAGCCTCCTCCACGGCGGCCTGCAGGTTGTGTCTGACCCGGCTGCCCGCGGAGCTCCGGTGCGTTCTGCACAGCGGCAGGCTGCCCTTCAGCCTCTTTCCTGCGGGCTCGGTCATGTCACCGCCCGGTCACCGCGAGAAGCTCGGTCCAGGACACGTAACTGACATAAACACCACAACCTGAGAGGTGAATCACGGGCAATAAACGACCCGACACCCGCGGGCTGTGGACAGTAAACGCGTCTTTCTTCCAGGAGACCTGAACCGTCATCGGAGGATAAATTTAGCCCGCAGAGATCAACAGTTTCCCGGTCAGCTGCTCAAGTTCATCCGGTGCAGCCACAGAAAAACAACAACTTTATTACAGAATAATAATCAGATCAACAATAAAACACGTGATTCCTTTTATTGCTTTCTTCTTTTTAACATCAGACGTTTCTCGATGCACTTTTATTTTGTAGAACAGATAAATATTATGTTCCTGTTGTCATGAGTCCACTGAGTGTTTACAGTGAAGGATCAGCTGCATTAAGCTGCTTTAACAATGACAGCTTCACTGCAGCCTAATGTCAGTGAAGCTCAGTGCTGGAAGAAGTACTCATGATGCTGGAAGAAGTACTCCTGATCCTTAATGAAGGTAAAAGTACCTATATCACAGTGTAGAAATACTTCATTATGTTGCAAGTCCTGCATCCATAAGAGTAGAAAAGTATTAACAAAATGTACTTAAATTATCAAAAGTAAAAGGACTTGTTTCGTCCTGACTTTATATACAGTCAGTCTAGTCTAATAGATCCCAACCTAAGGGTCGGGGTCCTTCAAAGGGTCACCAGACAAATCTGAGGGGTCGTGAAATAATTAATGGGAGAAAAGAAGAAACTAAGATCTGATGAACTAAAAACTGTTTTTATATTCTGCATTTTCCTCTAATGTGTCGGGTCTTTGTCGGGGATCTTTCTCCTCCTTGTTGGGCCTCTATCTGGTCTCTATCTTGTCCCGATCAGGCCTCTATCTGGTCTCTAACTGTGCAGCATCATGTGGAAGCTGACCCCCCTCCTGCAGAGAGTCTGTAATTTGTTACAGTGAGGTCCAGCCCAGGTGATTACCGAGCTGTCTGAGGGGGTCTGGGTGGTTTGTGTCAAAGGTGCGGGGTCCTGTTGACCCTTGAGGTGCTCTGGGGATCCTGGACCAGCTGACCCCCTGGGAGCAGCCAGCCCCTCCCGTCACTCATCCTGCAACAGGAGAGGAGGAAGAACCAGGGGGGTCGACTCTGAACCAGGAGGAGCTGCTGAAGAACGGATCCAGGATCCAGATCTCAGTTAAACTGGACTGTAGATCAGGTTCACGGTCTGTGTCTTAGACCTCTAAACCACCAGGACATCCCGCATTAAATATATCATCAAAGGAATAATTCAACATTTTAGGAAATACGTTTATTCACTTTCTTTATTCAGATTTCTAAGCCTGCTAGCTTAGCTTAGCATAAAGGCTGGAAACAGAGGGAAAAGCTAGCCTGGCTCTGTCAGAAACAAAATACACAATCCAGTGCCTCTAAATCTCATTGTTATGCACATGTGTTGTAATCTGCTGATAACGTCACTGATACAGAATAAATATTCAATGTCGCAAATTATTGAACAAAAAAATCTGTAAAATAAAAATATTTTTTACAGTGTATAATATATTTAATTTTAATTTCCAATATGTGATGTTGAGTTCTGTTAACTTTACAGAGCAGCAAAAGAGAAAAATACAGATAAACACACGACAATAACGAGACAGGACTCACACACACACACACACACACACACACACGAAGCACTTAATAAACCTAAAACTTGCAGACTGACAGCGGAGGTGTCGGACTTCACACCTGCTGCCTGCTGTAAACCACCAACACTACAACGACTGCATTGTCCTGCACTGGTGGCAGATTACTTTACACACACACACACACACACACACACACACACACACACACTGAGCTGGATTACCTCGCTGCAGCAGATTTACTGCTCTGCAGACAGTTGTGTGGTTTGTTGTGTTTGTGGACTGAGGACAGAGTTCGGATCGAATGAAGCTCTCTGAGCACCAGTCTCACCAGTCAGTGAATAATATTTATTTTTAATTTTTTTAAGTACTGCTACGGTCTAGAAACATAAAACAGAACACAAGTTAACAACAAATATGTACAATGTGTCTGTTTTTAAGGAGATAATGAGAGTAGTTCAGAAAAAAATATATATATTTTTTTTTTAAAGTAATGCTACGGTCAAGAAACATAAAATATAACACAAGTTATAATTCAAATGTGAAAAAAAATATAATATGTACAATAAATCTGTTTTTAAAATGAAAAGGAATAGTATAAGTAAACATAAGATGTGCAATGTAAAACAGATTTATGCAGCACTTTAATGCTTCTGGTGTGTGTATTGATGTTCTTTTATTAGCTTTTGACCTAATCAGGGAAAATACCTGCACTTATAAACACGGCTCTGAACACAGATCGCTTCCTGAACAGATTTCCAGATCAACAGATGGATTTATTAGTAAAGTTTAGCTTTTGACATCACGCTACAATCACAAATCTGCAATCATAAAGTCTTGTGGTTGGTTCGTTTGCACCGGAGTCCGCTTGGAGGCAGACTAAGACCCACCTTTTCAAGCGGTCTTGGTTCCATTGTTTGGTCCACACAGGCAGCAACGTCTGGTTCTATAAAGTGAAGCCAAAGCTTCATGTGTTAAAGCTGCATTCTCTCTAATGTCCACCAGGGGGCGACTTCTCTGGTTGTATAGAAGTCTATGAGAAAATGACTCTACTTCTCTCTTGATTTATTACCTCAGTAAACATTGTAAACATGAGTTTATGGTCTCAATCTCTAGTTTCAAGTCTTCTTCAATACAGCATGATGTTCATTTAGTACATTATGGTCCATTTAGAGTCAAACAGACCATGAAGCAGGGGATGCTTTAAGGCGGGGCTACACGGTGATTGACATCGTGATTACAGGGTTTTTGGTTCCACCTCGGTCGAGGTTCCGCCCGAGGTGACAGAAGAGAAAAACAGCGTACGCCGCTCACGACCGCCGTCCCTCGTTTTGACTTGCCGTCTCTCATCACATGACCCGGAGTTATAAATGCTGCAGACACACCAGCTGCTGCTCTAAAGAGAACAAAAAGAGATCGCCTGCAGGGACACACGGACGCTGCTCAGGATCTGATGTTCACTCCTGTTTTTATGAATGAGTTCAGTCCTGAAGATCAGTAAACTATTAATAACCACATCCTCCTGAGCAGGTTTGACCCGGAAATAAGGGACCTGGCTCATTGGCTCTTTGGACCTGAAGTACTGGAGAAGTTTAAACATTTTACTGCTGTTTGGGTTTAATAACAGCATGTCTTGTGCGAAATAGAATTAGAATCAGAAATATAGTTTTATGTAGTCTGTAGGATCATAATGAGCTTAAATGTTATGCTCGTTTAGGAATGATGGTGTTGAAATAGTACTCCACCAATTTAGCTTTGCACTCAGAGTTGTGATGGACAACATCAAAAAGTATCAAGCAGAACCAGAGACGTCATCTTTTTTATTCCACATTCTTCATTGTAAAAATCTGGCGGCCTACATTACCCACAATGCAGCTTGACCGCCGATAGTTGGGCGGGAGATTCACTGTGTTCTTCCTTTCTGAATATTTCCTCTGTACGAAGGCGTGTGAGGGCCATCGTAAGTAGAAAACAATAATGATAATAATAAATTCCTGAGCCGGAGAAAGGAGGGTAATAGTCCCAGAAAAACACTGAATTTTGAAGATATAATTTCTAAATTTATAAGAAAGAAACGTGGATATTCTCTGAGATAAATGTCAGAAATTTACAAGACAAAACTCACAAAATTACGAGAAAAATAACTTGAATATTCTCTGAGACTGTAAAGTCCTGAATCTGCAAGAACAGAATAGATTATTAAAGTCACAAATTTACGAAAAAAACTAGTTATGGGCACCACATTAGCACCACGTCGGCCCGTCGTTGGCCCATCATTGACGCCATGTTGGCCTGATGTTTGCACCATGTTGGCACCATGTTGGCCCGGCGTTCGCTCAGCGTTGGCCCGGCCTGCAGCGGGTCACAGCTGTCAAACAGATCAGCAGGACTTCTCTTCTCCACACCAGCAGCTGTCTATTAAGAATCCTCAGGACCGTCATCAGCGGAGAGTTCCTCAGCTCACAACTCGGCTCATTACCGCCCTTAATGGAGGGAAGACAGAGACAAGGTAAATACAATTACTGATCGGACCGCGGGACACCCGAGCCTGCAGCGGTGCCCCGTTTCACAGCCGGTACCCGACACCAGAGTCTGCCTCGTTACGGGGACCGACACCCCGTCTACACTCTGCTCCCGCTTTCTATTTGTTGTAAACTTCATCGGACACAACAGAACTCGGGCCGTTTGAAGGATGTTGTTGCCCTCTGAAATGGGAGGAAAGTAAATCTGAGTTTGGTGCTGAGGCCCGGTGAGAGTGAGGGCCCCCCCCCCGGATGCCTTTTTGTGCCAGACGCTGTGATTACCCAGAAAGCCTCTGGAATGCCCCCCTTGCTCATTAAAGAGACCGATATAGAGCGGCGTGGTCCAGTGAGGGACAGAGGGTAAATGGATGCCGCTAGTGTTATGTGGCACAAATTAAACAATGATGAATGATGACGCTTAGAGAAGGGGGGGGGGTGCACGACTATTTCCAGCGATGGCAGAAACACATTCTTTACGCATGAGAGGCGTTCGGTGTCTGTGGGTAATCGGACCACCGTGATGAAGGAAAGTCAGGCATCAGGTCGGTTTCTTTCAGCCTTTTAAACTCAGAAAGATATTAATTTTAACACTAATACCACAGTACTCCCCACCAGTACTGTCACAGTAGTAATACTACTGATACTTGTACAACACCTGTGACCTGTAAACATGCGGTGAAGAGGAAAACATCAGCTTGTGTTTCCAGGTGTTGTGGAGCTATTTGAGTCAGCGTCGGTTGACGACTGCGAGTCTTTTCAAAGTAAAATAATTTGGAGGTGTGGCGTTCGCATGGGAATCATGGGAACTTGATCAGCTGAACAAAACGACGTTGAACGTGTCGGGGGGTAACGTGTTAAAGGTGCAGAAATACTCAAAATGTGTGTGTTTCATTTCCCAGTTGAAGGTGTAATGGATGTGAGGGAGTAGTTTTCATGCAGCCAGCAGGTTGTTGTAGACGGATGTGTTGATCTCTGCACAGATTAAC